TATATATATATATATATATAATATCCAATGGATTGACGTTCGTCATACACGCAGGCAAACTGAGGTCTTGTATGAGAAAGTCGTGCTTAGCTGGTCACACTGTACTTTGATGACAATACAGTGCTGAATTTAATTGGTCTCCTTCCTGATACAATCCAGTGAGTGCACTTGAATGTTAGCCAGTCCGTCTATACCGGCAGCGCGCACTTAAATTCATGGGGGCCATGCCACGTTTCGACAGATTTGGTCAAACGTTACTGATCACGGCTGTTAGCCGAAGTTACCACGAAGGTGTTGTGGTGATCTCAGGTCAGATTCCACGAGATGATCAATGGTGTATGCGTTATTGCTGTCACACTCATGGTCACGTTAACACAGAGTGACGTGATCCGTGTGACGCAGTCAGTCCGGTTCGCCTACCCAGAAGCGGACATCCGTTGAGTGACAGCATATTGAAGATGCGGTATAAGGACCGTTTATCAAAACCCGTGGGTGGAGAAAGGTGAGAGTCCCGTTGTAACGAGGGATTTGCTGTCACCAGCATGTCGCCCAAGTCCCTTGCGAGACCACACCATAGTCCGTTTGGATTTGAAAGGTTTTGTATTCGTCATTTAATCCCTACTATGACAACGAAGTGCTCAGACAGACTCAGCGAATACACAATCTGGCCCGTAGTAAACACAAACACGTAGCTCACATTTAACCTGTAATGAGCTTTTGATCCAGAGATTGTCATTTTGGGAAACGATAAGGCCGTCGAATCTTCGACAAAGTATGAAAGAAGCGGACGTTTAACGTATCGTCTGCGGTGACACGGTGTTGTCCCTGTAATAATTCAGGTATCCTGATAGCGAGCCGTAGCAATCATACTTAACTCCACGGAGTATGGGAGTAAAAAACAAAAGGGAAGAGAGAAGCAAGTTTAGACGGTTTTCTCCAAAGTTCTCAAGCAACTAACCTGTAGAGCGTACAAAAGTCAGGAGCTGTGTGTTACGGAAAGAGAGCATTCTTGCTGCTGGTCAGTGGTTCCTACAGGATGTGCTCGATGGTATTCCGGGGATGGAAGTGTTTTGGGACGTTTACGAGAGTAGGCACTCACCGAACATTAACTGTCGGTGTAAGGAAATGAAGTTAAATTCCGGGCGCTGGCTGTGTGATATACTCACCAGGTAGGTGTGCTCCTGATCCTTTTGTGTTCGGCTGACGACCACAACATACGGTTGCAATGGTGCCAGGCTGTCTTTTTGGGGACGTGACCACCTCAGACTCAAACCAACGTAGAACTGCCTCGTCTGGCTTTTCTGTAGTAGTAGTAGAGTAGTGTTTAACTAAATTAGTATTGTACAGCAGCGGTCTGCATAGGTATTGCTGCAGCTCTCCAGCTTGTACATTAGACGGGTGCACATCACCTGGCAGTCGATCATGGATACTACTGGAGCCGGGGGATTAAACCTGCAGACACTCGGCAACCAGGTGTTACCAGTCATCATACCCTGGTCTGCAATAAAGCTCATAGAACTTGGTCCGGTTCACAGAAATTGCGTTTCTTTATCATGTCTCCCTCTGAAGAATCCACCTGAAGGACAAGCCCAAGTACTCTGTTTCGAGTCTCTCCCAAGGGGAAACCAAGACAGACATGCTCCATTCAGCCAGTCAGACACAATCTCCCTTGAGACAGACTCCCACTTATGGTCAAATGAACCTGCTGTGTAATGCTCCCGAGATTGTGACAGCCATCTGTTACTCGCTTGAAGTGCACCAAATCGGTGTTCACTTGCGAGTGAGTGTTAAGACTGACACACCTAAGAACCACTTGTATTAACTACAGCATTCACATCCGCCCCGGAGCAACCTCACCTTGGTCACAGGCAATCACAGGTGTCCATCATACGATTGATCTCTTGGCAGAATTGCTAGTTGGTGTTCGAATGCTATCATCTCCAAAATGACTCGGACGGACGGGCACTGAGACCCAGCCGAAAGAAGCCGACCACTCGCTCAATTCGGCTCGCGCGGTAGTATCCCATACTGAAAATTCAGCAACCTTATGAGCATTGCATTACTAATATACATGTGTCGCTATGTATCGAATATCGTAGCGATTGAAAAATGAGGCGGCCTGGTGCAGCACATTCAGTTGCCTGGAAACGTCGCAAACGAGATTCAGCTGGGTTCCAGGTGAGTCTCTTGCAAAGCCAAATTGGTTTGCAAATGAGTGTATTTCGTTAAGATATAGTTCTGATTTATTGAAAGACATTCTATCCTCTTGTCCACCTAGGAGCTCGGATACAGCCATAGTAACGGGAGATTTTATTGCACATGTCGATCGTACCTCTGTTCGAAAAAGGCATCCGAACCGACAGTTCGAACAGCGAGGGTATAAGTCTAACGTCAGTCAGAACACATACTGTATAGATACGGATTAGATATGGATGCCTAATCTCGACATGCGACGCACAACTCCGAGCAGGATTTCGACCTGGTACAGGGTGCACTGGCCGTATCTTTACATTAAGTTACGCCCGAACAGGGCCACATATACCGTCGACCAACAATAACGGTTTCTCTCGACTTTCGAGACATACTCGTTGTGTGAATAGATGGGCTGTACTAAATATTCTTGACCAGAAAAGGTTACCACTGAGGATTGTAAACGTTCTTCGTGCCACTAATTCCTATACTTTCGGTTGGGGCGAGGTGTTCAATGAACTGTCGGAAAGCTTCCTCACGAATGTGTTCTTGAGAGTTGGCTCCTCTTGTTCAGTTTTGTTATCAGTTTTTTCTCATGAAGTGCACACTCCAGGGGATCACTAATCTAGGTGTCGAAATCACGTCAGGAGAGCGATTATGGACTTGGATTGCGCAGACGACATCGTTTTGCTGTCTGAGGATTACCTGTACGAAGCACTTTAACCAGAATATCAGAGGTGAACCCTTATTTCGGCATGCTTTTTGGGGCCAACGTGCAGACTTACTTCAACATTTCCTATCCCCTTGTGCGACTGAAACTCCATAACGAAGAGCTTCATTTTGTTGACTGGTTCACTTATCTCCCAAACTGCATAAGCCGTACTCACACTGCGACAGATCAAGATAATACGCAGATACTCAAAGTATGAACAGCACTCGCCAAATCACGTAATTCATGGCGCCAGAGCAGAATTTCCCTGAAGCTAAAGTGCTGTATGTGCAAGGCGACTGTAAGAGCAGTCCTACCGTGCGGTTGTTGGACTTGGCCTCCTCCAACTGAGGACCTTGGGATTCATCAGGTGTTTGGTCACCGGTGTTTCCTAGCATGTCAAGAGTTAGGTGAGTGCAACACGAAAGGGTCTGTAATTGGTACTGGGAAAAGAATACGATTCACTAGAGCAGCATATCAAACTTATCAGGTTGTGATTGAAACATATTAAACATGCACAACCCCGTCTATACAATGAAACCTTGTTCTCTATTCCGACCGATTGTTGGCGAAAGGTACGCGGTGTGCAGACCGTGACATGGTAATTAAAATGAAAGCGACTGCTGGCAAACTGAGTGCCGTGGGGTCTTCGTGCCCCCCTAATTAGCGTTCGGGTGATCTTGCTTGATGGTGGTTAGGATCCCTATAGGAAATGGCACGCAACTGACCACAGTGGCACGTATACTGTCCTTTCCTAGCCGGACTACTTAGGTGAAGCTCGCCTGTCGTCGCACGCGTTGTCAAAGGGAGCTGGTTCGATACAGCTGATGACGCCTTACTCCGACAATATACTCAGATGTGCTTATTTTAAAGTTGTCCAAAGGTGTAGACACCTGATTCCGGTTCGCTTTCCCTAATGAAACTGGGCTTCATCGCACTAAGTCCATAAACCTCCATATTCTTTCCACTGTTCACTGGGACGTTCTTCCCTTATCGTGGCATGGCAGTCAAGCAGAAGTATTTAATAATGGTGTATTGCTGTCATTAATGATGATGACTAGTTGCATAGACTGGCACTTTGTATCTTAGGCTTAATCATGCCAAAAAGACCTAAGGGAAGCAGCCAAAACAAGCGAGTTCCCATACTGCGAGCGATTGTATAACTAAGTGACCGAGAAAAGTGTGATGTTACGTTGGACCGAAGTACCGAGGTACCAAGATGTCCCTCAATGTGACCAACCTCCTTGGCGATGGAGATTACGTTAGAGAAGGTCAACTTCAAAATCAGCATACTGACCACCCAACGACTGGTCGTGATCACCGGGGAAAGATCCAACAAGGTCAAAAAGAAACTAGACATCATCAATAATCTGATGCAACCACAAGTCTACTGTGCGCAGCAACATCAGGATTGCCATCTGTCCTTTACTCCTTGCACCTTTGAGCTCGACTGGCCCTCCACAACAAAGTGGGTCAGACTGTTAGGACATTGGCTTCTAACAAGATCCACCACACAACGCTGCCTCGTCGTTAGGCTTTCAAGCAGAAAGCTCAGGTTGAGATAGCATAAAGAAACATTTTTCAGCCCAGGTAACGGAGACGTATAGTATGTCCTTACAGTTTCTTGTGTACTGATCCCTTTCAAAGGTACCTCATAATGCCACAGTCAAACGTCAGTGGATCAGTTATTTAACATAGACCTAGCCAATGTCACGCCTACGGCGCTTCCTGCTAAAAGTACTCTGATGAATAGAAAAGAACATGCTTATTTCGCGTACTTCAGCACCTGCAATATGGAATCAGCCAGTAGGTACCTCTTAGACCTTACTCACCCTTAATGACTATCGTGAATTCTCAACCGACATCTTGTAATATGGTGTTCACCGAACACAAGTGGGTCATGGACTGATGGCGATCCGCTACAAGGAGAGAGCAGTCGTTAAAGATTGTCTTCCCCCCAGCAATTACCTGAGGTGACTTGAATGACTTCTTCGGATCCGTTTATCCTTATACTATCGAAATTTCGCGGAGCGAAGGCACTTTTACGCGATTAAAGGGACCGATCCAGCGTCACTTGCGAATATCACCCAACAGAAAGCCAGCAAAGGACTAAACAAAAGTGCTAGCTAGGCAGTCCAGCTGAGCGACGGTAAGCTCTCCGTGGTTAGCGCCATGCCCCGCAGGGCTTTCAACCACGCCCCAGGAGGGTCACGTGGACCCCACCCAGGAATACACAGCACTCAAATAGATAGTGGTCGCTTTCATTCCACGCTGCAGCGTCAGGGCATGACCTTCGCGAAACTTTCACTAACAGGGATTGGGAGAGGAAAAAGATGTCTTCTTCAGTAGACGTGGGTCAGGCATTTTGAATACATAGCCAAAGCAATTGCTGCTCAACCGGATTCGTGGTACTCGCTACGAATCTTCAGTACGTACATGGTGGTAGCCAGTTGTTAAACTAAAGAGACATCGGTGATCAAACATCCTAAGATGTTTGAGGTCCGCAGTAGAGATGTAGTCCACCGCGGCTACTGAATCAGCTTAAGTTCGTAATCGATAGCGTCCAGATAGAAAATGTGTTGTAGACTCCATTAGCGCAAATAGATCTTGCATTTGAGGTTCGTGATACATCAAATAACTGTCGATTAAGTGTCAAGAGTACGCGCCCGGGCAGCTTGATTAGCTTCGGAGTTCGCGCATCAAAAGTCCCGATAAAATATACGTGAGCATTGAGAAGCGGCAGACATGAGCGATCGCATATTGATAGTAGCTTCTTCGGATGAAAGACTGTCGTGCCACTGGCTGCTACTGGAGGGGAAGAGAGTTGGATTAATACTGAGGTAATTTATATGTCAACAGCAGCTCGCTTTTCATTACCAACCCCAATGTGTTCATCTAATAAGGCGACGTGGCTGATGGCACAACGCCACGGCCGACGTGGCATTCGAAGTTCATGATCAGGGTGCTCAACAGAGGACTGACTCAAAAGTCTGACTGCAAGGCACTAGTAGTTGGCGTGAAACCACCCGAGTGATGAAACACCTATGAAACATGTCACCACAAATGTCCTACTCACCCACTCAACTACCCCCAAGCCGGAGAAGACCGTGTCAGGCTGATCTGCGAACGTCTCGCGGACTACCTACCATACCTCAACAGGCAACAGAAGTGCACAATTCGCCACACCACGGTAAGCTCGTCTATCCGTGACGGAGCATCCTTTCTAATTCACGTCTTATCTTCGTTATTCATACGCTGACAGAGTAATTCCCACCTACCTACCTGCGTGATCTATATGTTCCTGCAGCGTCCTCTTACAAATATTGGTTATCCGGATGATGTCGTCCTAATTGGATGTATCCTTACAGTTGATGATTTCAATGACTAAACTGTACAGGTTGGCATGCATCTCACATCTGCAAGACTGGGTGGAGCCAAACCCAGAATTTATGATTGCAAAGGAGCCAACCGATATGGTAGACGAATACGTTTACTTAAGCAGCTGCTTCAGCACGATAGAAGATTAAAAAAACACGATCAGAGCAGGGAAAGTCATGGTGAGTTTCTTTCAAACTACGGAGTCTTTGGCGTCGATGCGACATCAGCTTGGCTGCCAAGCTTAGAATCTACAGCGCTACAGCGCATCCCGTACTGGTAAGCAGCTCAGGAACCAACCACTTCGAGCAGTAGACGTTACAACACCTTTCGTGCTTGACCACCTAGGTATCTGAAACAATTCTAAAATTTGGTGACGACACAGAATCAGTAATTCTGAGGTACATTTAGTGGTTTTTTAGAAAGCACTTATTAGATAGCTAAGCCTATTGCACAACAGATCGAATTCCTGGAGGAGCTAATCTCACTTGCATTTTGGTCGATGAAGGTCAGAAAACTGCATGATAAGGCATGAAGACCATAATCAGCAAACTCAATCACGCTGACAACTGCCGTCTGCGACGGTAAGAAAGCGGAGTTAATACATATCAATGAATAAAAGGAAGAACAAGCGTGGTCCGATTGCTCAGCCGGTGGCACTCAAGCATCCAATCTACTCCCCGGATTCGTAGCTAATCCCTCCTGACCCCCGCATTCGTGATAAGAAGTTCGCGTAACACCACCACTACCACTGTCCGACTCACAATAAAAAAGTCAGCCATCGCCTCCGAAGCGTGGCTCCAGGTACATCCCCAACATAATTGGCGAATGAAACGGTGCCCGTCAGGACCAACGTATAAACCATAAAGAAAATGGAGGCGTAACGATGCGGGAGGAAACGTAGCAAAATTTTGTAAGCTACAGAAAGCGCGAGTTTGCTCTAAGGTTATTCAAATAAGTAGGAGCTATATTTCAGGAGAGCACCAATTGGTGGTGGAAAGGGCAATCGCATTTGAATCGAATCGCGATTTGTCTAAACCAGCTTATTCGAAACAAAATGTGATATGACTTCTCTACGACGGTCCCATCCACATGTGCAAGGGATGGAAACCACACCACCTGCGGCTATCGCCTATGAGTTTAGATAGCCAACATGTTCCTTACGCAGTCGTACTGAAATGTTTGTGGTTGTGTAAGAAGTTCATATTTGTTACGGGATATACAGCTATATAACAGAACGGCACTCAAGGGTATTTTACCGTGCCCCCTCCTCGGCTGCGTTACGTTTTTTCCATGAAACGTACTCCCGTAAAGTTTATCAAAATGGAAACAAAACTGGCTAGAAAGGAAGGTTATGTTGTCAAATAAGCAGAGGGTATCGGAAAAGTTCCAGTTACAATAATGCCTAATGCAAATAATGGCGCAAAAGCAATTTATCACATTCAATTGTCAAGGGCATGCGAAACTATTTACAGCGGACCACACCCAACAAGACGGTTGTCTTCAGGTGTAACTGAATTCGGTATGTGGTCCCACCAAATCAGGAAGCTTGGTGTACTGTGCCGTGTCTGTATTAACAGATAGAGGAGTAAAAGTGTAGGGAGAAAAATTAGTGCCTGGATAATTGGTAGCAGCTGAGAGGGGTCGATAGGCTTCATCCGCACGGTAGCCGGGGCCGAGTGGATAGGTGGATGCGAGGATGGGGTTGATACCAGGATACGCTGAACCATGTAGGCGAGGAAAAATGGATAGGTCGTTTGCCATACAGTTGGCCTCACCACAGACGTTGTGGTCGTACATATTATTGTTCACACCATACGGATGCTGCTTTTGGTGAACAGAATCAAATTTATGTACAGTTGGTGATCTGAGTGATTGCCTTCTCGAGGTAACGTCATCCGGATAGGACTCGTTTGAATGAGTAAAATCGGTGTGAGAATCAATGAAGCTAGACCAGGGTCGACCGGTCGGGCAGGAGTAGATGGAAGGCGGCACAGTAGAAGAATCGTGTTGAGTGGTGGGCAGATCATAGCTCAAGAGTCGGTTGGGGGTAAATTGGTGATCTGCATACATTCCAAAAGAATATGTCGCAGAATTCGAGTGAAAAGAATCAGAGTAGTTTGAAACACCAGTCCACGACTTGCTATCACGGACCTTTGGAGCAAGATAACTGTCCGGCGGATGACTGGTGTTTCTAGATGGCGCTTGAAGAGATGCTGGCGAAGATGGCCCAGATTGCTCAGCGTACGTGGGGGGCGGAAAAATTGGCTCGTTGGTATGGTTGTGATGATAGACGTTTTCACCGAAGAGGAAAGGGACATGCTCTCTTCCACCATGTTGTAACACACAAGGCGCATCCATTTGGTCAGGTCGACAACTATATCTGGATTTGTCGGTGTAGGGAAAATAGCTGGATGTTGGATTTGCCGAATCGTTGCAACGGCTCTGTTTGGGCACCTTAAAGAGAAAACTTACAGAGAGTGAAAAAGACTTACTGTTGGATGAGAAATTCTGGGTTTTGCTGTTCGCTTAGTCTTCTTCAACTTCTTCTCACTTTCCGCCAAATGAGTAATAAGTGAATTCATGACGTCCCGACTACGTGTTTCATAACTTTTGTTCGAAACTGAATGCCTCTTCAAAGCCAGCTCATGATGGCTCTGTAGTGTGTTCAAACGCCGCTGGAAGCGGTAAACCTGTGCGGATGCCATATTGGAAGCCGGCCTGGTATGCGACAAAGCAGGGACAAGGACTAAAAAGGAACCGAAGGAGTGCCTATTAGCATCGCTGTGCAGAACCGGAATGTAATGGTCAAGATCAAATGAGGTGAAATGAGTACGCGTGCATTTGGAATATAGTGCTAACCAAACCCATAAAAATAGGCGGCCCGATTGATCAGGTTCGACGGGATAGCCCTTCTCACCCTCCTTCCCAGACTGAGGCATAACCGAACGCCACTAGAAAACTTAGTGACTGCATTCCAGGCCTGTTGTAGTCCAGACATACCAAGGGCCATGAGACAATGAAATGAAAATAGAGGAACTGATAAACCGGTGAATAAAGTGCAGCCGAATGTCTCAACATGGAGAAAGGACATCCAGATAATGGTTAAGCTCATAGCCCTGTTATTCTTCCAAGAAAGGTGAGAGTGATTGCAACAGCCACGCTTGTTCTGGCACCTGGGGTGAGAACACCGAATTGCAATGAATGAGTGATTTGGACTCTAGATTGAGGGCAAGATGTGAACCGAAGATGCATGCTACACTATTAAACTCCATCAACTGTTTTGAAGACCCCAACTGAGAATCCTGGCCTGCAAATCACGTTGACCACCTGCTTAACAGTGTTTAGCTGCTTACGATAGGTAGCGATACGTCAGGGAGTGAGGTACACATTAGAGGCAATAGGTCTGATGCACTATTGCCGTTAGCTGCACTACATAGCCATAGCTACCACGGACAGTACCTATCCGTTTGTTTTTCGCCATCTTGGGAATCGACAAAGCAACTGAGTTGATTGATAAAGGTTTTCAAGCTTTGTTGCGAGGTCATGGACTGAGCGTCCGTGAGTCATCTGCATCCGATACACGGTTGGGTGAAGATGGCACTGCGAAGGGAAAGGCTCTCTGACATACAAAGCACATAGCCCCACAAGCAAGTGATCCTTGCCAGTCGGTCGCAGGAGAGTGAACGTTCCCAAAATCCATCTGGTGTACCTTAGCATTAAGATTTTTTCTCATCAGACCTGTGCAATGCTTCGGAGACACCGGCGAACAAACACAATTTTCGGAGGTCTGCATATGACAGCCACAGCTCTAATCAATAAAACAGGACAGATTGGACGGCAGGATTGTGTACTCTACTCTTGACGGTCAAATTGGCGTCAAATAGGCGGAATAGACGTCGGATGTTGGCAAAGGCTGTCCTGGCGTTCTCACTTTGGGAGGTGATTTCATTCTTCGTCAGTCTGCCGAATTGTGCAGTTGTCCCGATGGACGAACTGACTTACGACATCCACGGTTTATCTGAAATCCCATCCAGTCTTGCAGTAACTCTATACTTTTCAGGGGTAAAAGGTATGCTGAACGGTGCTATAGGATAATTTAAGCCCGGTAAGGTATTTTTCATCTTCAAAAGGTGTGGTGCAAGAAGAGTGATTTAGACAGCGAGTGAAAACCCCGGGAGTACTTCGATTTTCAGAACAGGCAAGAAGATTATAAAAGCTAATGGATAAGGTACCGTTTCCGGACCACTAGGTGCGGTTGAACTTTGTCACAGATAAGTCTGCGTCCAAGTAAATCAAATTCAATTCAATGTATCAGCCAGAACCCGTGTGCCAAAGGTACACTGGTTTCAGCTGTTACAGTTTCTATCACCGAAAACGGGAAAGTGGAACATACAACCAAGCCTTGGAGGCGAAGGCATGTTCAGTTTGTTCGAAAATTGGGTAGCTACGCATTGAAGACAATAGCCTTGATGCAAGAGCGCCACTGACTGAGCGATTGGGCCATTTCTGCCAATGTCATTAACCACTAGTGATTTGAGTCCCGGGGTCCACATCCAGGGAGGCGGCAGTTGCCCACCCGACTAAGTTTACTGGTTAGCGTCTTCGTACTTCGTTGCCAGGTAATACATTGTTCACCCCTCGGTCGCGTCCACTCAGCACAGGGGTGGGAAAAAGAGCTCTGTGAGGTAGACGGTCAAGCACTGGGTGACCGAAGTGTACGGTTTTTGGGGCCTAACGTTTCTAACCTGTCCTTCCTCAGTAGAATACAGCATCTCTGTTTCCATAAATATGAACATGCTGGTCACCTTGGGGAAACTCCCTACTGGCTTTACACTTCTATCGCAGAGGACATAGGCAGTGAAGCATCGGCGTTGAACACTGATGTCATTTCGTCCATGATGATGATGGCCAGACACTGGAAAAGTAAAGGGCGAGAAATCCGGGTTCGTCTCGAGTGGTTTGAGGGGTGTGACACTTCTGGGGGCTTGTGTACGTGTTTCGGAGACACAAGGTACACTGATAAAAAAGAGGACATGGCTCGAGCTTGGGGCACCTATTGCCCAGTTTGACACAAGGTACGGACATGGAAATTAGCAATGTGGAACTGGCTACTTGAATTTAGAAAGGGTTAATTTCGATTTATTTTACTGCGCATAGGTTTAAAGATGGGACAACAGACTCCACTACTCCACAGATTTCGTGCAAGGCAGAGGATGTATAGCCATTTGTGGGTTCTGCCAAAGTGTGGGTGTTACGCAGATTACCGTGCGATGTGGGTTCTGCTCTGATCAGTCTCGATAAAGGCAGCACATGTCCAAACAAAAGCGAGACCGGTGCTGGACTGTTGAAAAGTTTTCAGCAACCTTGAGGGGTGCCTCAACAGAACGCTTTTCTTGGGCCGGGGCAATCAGGAAGTATCATTCACCCTTGCACTCCTTTGTTCACCGGCTCTCCACCACATCCCTTCCTACGCGTCAAATGATGCAGTGGGAATTGTGAATTATTTTAACTAGCAGAACATATTTGCCGGACAATGTGGTGTGCGATTCACACCTGCGAGGATCTACGCGATGCACAAGACCGCGAGGAATCGAACTTAAACGTCACGGTTCCAGACGGATCAATCAAGGTGGTAGATAAATTTGTTCACCTGAGAAGCTGTACAGGTCCCAGTGACGCGAGGCTAATTGTTGGGTCATAAAGAACAGGGCAGTGTTTGTTAACCTCCAAGACAAGCATGATGCCAGTCCATCCGTTAAGGACGGAGTATATACTTCGACGGCGTGATTCATACCGTTTTAAGAATCTATAATAAATAATCAAAATTATTCAATTGTAACGCCCTTTCGGTACCTAGCTGCCATACCACTCGAAGGGGCACGGCAATTGAGATACTGTGACGTTTCACAAGCCTAGGAGCAGTTGCTATGCTGAGGCTGCGAGCGAAGCACGGAATTCCCCCTCAGTAATTTTGTGCCGTAAGCAGTGCGTTCCTGAGGTATCCCAAGCCAGAAGCGCGTTCTTCATGTGTTTGACCATCTGTGTCTCGTGAGCACCAGCGGTTCCGGTGGGAACAGCGGATTAACAATACCGATATAGGCAAGATGGTCTTAGGAAGAAGGGGATCTCCCACGATGGATGAATTACTCATGCTTCGTAAGTTATGCGGATAGGGTATGTACCTCGTATGTCAGAGGACCGACTGCCACACAGAAGCAATCTGGCCAACTTTGTACAGAGTGAAAACGACCGAGGTACGAACAGCACATGACCTAGCGACGAGGTATGTAGGTACTAACCGGTGGACTCAGTAGAGTTGACGACTGCAGCCTCCATGGATGGTGGACCCTGGACGCAAATCATCAGTGGTTAGTGACACTGCAGACATGACTCAATCACTCAATCAGGGCACTCGGTCACCAAAGCTGTCGTCCTCAATATGTTATCCTTTTCATGATCAGAGATAGCGACACAAGCGCTGACACTAACAATTCACTCCTGTACAACCATAAAGATCATTTATTGTGTTTGAAGACTTCAAGTGGAAAAAAATAAAAAGCTGATGAGGGAATGACCTACCACAAGCATTCTGAGGTGGCAATATTTTGGGAGACCCAATCAGACAGTCCAAGAGAAAATGACAGCAAGAACACTACTGGCACCCAGCAGCCACCGTTTCTTGCAATTTCTTCAGTCAAATGTACGCGGGGGCTAGGAAGGCGGATCGCATACGCAACTTTTGCGCTTGCTGCATTTTGTCCCTACCAGACGTTCACTACTTTTACTGTAAACAAATGCGTCAAGGGCTGGATTTGAGTTTCTAAGTGAGCATACAGCTTGAAAGACAGAGTCATAACATGAAAAAGGAATCTGAACAAACGTCGGTGATAACGAAGTTCATCTGCACAGCACTGGACGATTTTTAGCCACTCCCTTCCCTCCATCACCTCCTTTATCACACCTTCATGTATTCCATCTTCTAACCTACTCTAATCCGATTTGGATTACCTCTCCGCAGATCCCAGTGATAGCACTGGACGGTTTGTCCTTCATGCATCGCACTCAGCTGCAGTACTGTGTTCAACTTCAGTAACAACCCTGAATACCTCCAGGTCCCTTTGCAAACTCAGAAAAACGATTTAATTAACTGCCTTTAACGTTCGCACACTGAAACAGGCAGGACAACAAAGGGTCCTTGCTCAGAGGCTGGATCCACCTTGTATGACGTATACTCTCTTCCAGAAACAAGAATACGGGGAGCAAGTAGTGTAATTGACCTGAATGTCCTCTCGCTCTCTTTCAGGTCCCGGGCTGCGAACCTCTGATGATGTGGAGGCGGCTGAAGTTGGATATGCCGGCGTGCGAATTGCGTTCAGCTATCGAGCGGAATCGTCTCTGTTTGGCTGGAGGCCCGTTGATAGTCATCTCTGCGAAATTCATTTGGTAAATTCTGTGAAAGCATCTCGAGAAAGTGAGGTTCACCACGACCTGTTTGTTGTATCTGCTTACGCCCCAACAGACTGTAGCTCTGAATTTGCCAAAGGCAGTTTCTATGACGATCTAGATACCCTTTTACTATTAGCCAACAGCTCGGACACGATAGTGGCTGCTGGTGACATAAACACTCAGGTAAGTAAAATAAGCGCTCCTGAAGCCCATTTAAGTGGTTTTCTTGGGTTAGATAAGAGAACAAGAGAAAATGGAG